GGGGCGCGGGGGGGGGGGGGGGGGGGGGACAGGACTGGAAACAGGAGGAGCGCTCAAAAGACGAACTGAAAAGAATATCCCGAGAGGAGCGCTGAGACATACGACTCCCCTCCACTGTCACCAGTGACTGAATAGTGCCGCTGCCGCTCTCTGCGCTTTAGCTCACCTACAAACAGAGAGAGAGAGAGAGGAGAGAGAGAGATAGAGTGTTTGGCACTTTATGTTATGATATGTAATGTAATGTAAGCTGTATGGTATAATATGGAAGGTGTGACAAATGCTAATACTTTTTTTTATTACAGTATCCCTAGTTACAGATTAAATTATAATGATAATTATAACAATATAGTATAGTATTGTTTAAATTATAATGAGCAAGCAGCAAAATAATACCACATTAAGCCTTTGTATACTAATTCATAAAAATGAGCGTTACTAATGTAAAAAAAAAAAAAACTAATGTCAGACAAAATGTAACAACGAAAGAGCAAAATCCTGCTAACTGATTAAGTTACCTTACCATAAATTATACTGTATTTTAAAAGACAACACATGTATTTTTTCTTTAAAATATTGTTCAGATGTCTTATATTTATTTATAATTTATATATTATTTAAAAATTAAGTAAATGGTAAGGGTGTGTAACTTATATTTCAGGAAATACTTTAATGGTAAAATATTTTTTAAAATTATGTTTTTGGTAAGTAACATAACCTAAAATAACATGGCTAAATGGGCATTCCCAGCATAAACATCACATTTGTTTGGATTTTTTTGAATATATTTGTTTATGCTGAATGCATACATTTAGCCTATGCCTATTGTTTATGTTTATCGTCATGTGCGTCACCATGATGAGGTTTTGTGATGGTACCATTGTGACCTGTCATTATTTAATTTTTATATATTTAAGCCATCATATTCTGTTGTAGCCTACCAGTATTTTTTTATATCTCAAAGATGCTGATTTATTGACATAATATAATTTAATGACAATTAAAAATGGAAAAAATTGAATCCTGCAACGCTTATAAACAGCTGCCAGTTTTTTTTTTTGGCGAATTCATAGATACTAAACATGGTAGGATTACATATAGGTAAGATGACAGGAACGAGTGGTTCCATCATAAGCCTGCATTTTTTTGAATATATTTGTTTATGCTGAATGCATACATTTAGCCTATGCCTATTGTTTATGTTTATCGTCATGTGCGTCACCATGATGAGGTTTTGTGATGGTACCATTGTGACCTGTCATTATTTAATTTTTATATATTTAAGCATATATATTCTGTTGTAGCCTACCAGTATTTTTTTATATCTCAAAGATGCTGATTTATTGACATAATATAATTTAATGACAATTAAAAATGGAAAAAATTGAATCCTGCAACGCTTATAAACAGCTGCCAGTTTTTTTTTTTTTTTTTAAACCAAAAAGGTATGATCCATAATATTTCTCAGACAAACACATTGCCCCTGCTGGGCAGTGTGGTGGTGTATAATTGGACCATTATATTTTCCTCAACAAGCATGCTTGCTTTAAATTCCTGTTATTCCAGACTCTAAGAACATTACAAATAATAAAATTCCAAGATTAAAAATAGCCACAGCAAGGAGGACTATGGGACAGATGAGAATAAAAAAAACAAGAATATATTTGTTATACAGACACGCGATTTTCTTTTTGCTTAAAAAAAAAATAAAAAAAATCCTCCAGTTCTAGATACTCAAAACCTAACATCATACTTCTCTTAGCATTTAATTCCAATGCCCTTTGGAAGCACTCAGTCTGGTTTCCATGAGTAGGAATTTCTGCTCTGCGTTTCGTAAATCAAAACGGTTAGAGGGTTTAAATCAAAATGAATCAGGACAGTGCTGACTACTGCGGAAATGCTAAAGGCAGCGTGGACCAAACTGTTCTGCAGAATTAACCACAACTGAGATAAAGAGATTGATGTGATTTTACACAGGATGAAGGGAGGTGCAGCTTTGGTTGATGATTAGAGATTTTTTAAACTGATAATATATGAGGAAGCAAAAACTATTGTACTCATAAAGAACCTAGGAGGTCATTAGAGACATGTTTACAATGCAGTACAACAAACGTGTGCACTCCACAATTTAAAACCCTGTGTGATTTGATTAGAACAAACCAGCACTCACTATGGGCATGCAAACACATACACACGCTCAAAGTTAAACAGCTATTTAAAGCAGGATGAGAGCTTCTGTTGGATGGCCTGCAAGTCTGATGAGTTGATACAGACAGGAGCCAAAGAATCTCTCTCTCTAACACACACACATACACAGTTCTTAGATACTCTGAAGAGGCAGCATTAGTGTATGCCTCATTTAGGCCAAATGTGATGGTCTGGCAAGTGTTCCTTCCTCTCGCTCTCCCACCACTCCTCTCCATCCCTGTTTCCCTCCCTGTCCATTCCTCCCATTTCTCCCCTCTCCCTCCTTCCTTTCTGGAGCTAATGGGGCTGAAAGCTCCCAGCAGTTCTCTGCTAAAACATGCGTTTAATTTGATTATTTACTACCTATTGTTTTCTGCCCTATAGAGTCTGAAGAAAGTGAAAAAGAGAGAGAAGGTGTATGTTTGTGAGAGAAAGACAGAGGGGAATATGTGTGTGAAAATCGTAAATGAGAGAGACGGAGAGAATACTCTGAATGTCTATGTGTGTGTGCGGTGTGTAAAAGGGTAATTGTGTGTGTGACGAGTGTGTATTGTGTGTGTGTGTGACAGGGGAAGCCCAGCTCGTATTTGTTATTCTAATTGAGGCTCCTCAGTTGTCTATGGATCCATTGTGTTACACTCAAGTCAGCCGTTCAGATTTAAACCCAGGACCAACACTTTAACTTATAAAAACCATCCCCCACATGAAGAAAAGAAAATTATAGCAAATTACGAACTCCCAGGCTCCCTCCTCAAACATTAACATTTAATATACTTCCTATTAAACTCTAAACTAAAAAAGTTTCACCTCTCAAGCAGAATTTTTCTAGTACAAATGTGGAACTTTGTATTGCACTATGTTGCATGTTATGTAATGTCTCATTATGAATTGCATAAATGATAAGATGTAAGTCTTCATAAACAGCTATACATGCAAGAACCTGCACTGCAAGTTTTGTAAATTCATGCATTCAGGTTGATTCAGTGATATTAAATAAGGTTTTTGACTTGGATAAAACCAGGTAACTATCAAGTTGTTACCATTTTAGGTTACCATTTTAAGTGTGTTATAATATAATATAAATGCAACTCATAGTATTTTAAGACTTGATAAAGCTCTGAATGCCCATACATATGGGTAGTTAACAAATTACAAGGTTGAAGTTTTTTCAAACATATTTTTGTATTATATTTTAAAGGGTATTTTTACGTATTTCAAACAGAAACAGGATAAAGAATAGATTGCGATGTTTTATTTTAGCGCTCCTCCTCACCCTTTCTCGTTTACAGCAAAGGCTGCATTTGCACCATGTCGTAATTACCAAAATTTCGAGATAACAACAACGTGACATTCAGCTCGGAGCTGTCCAAGTCCTCAGACTCTGAATTATGCGTTTCTATCGCAGTATAAGAAACGACTAAATGACTAAATCTGCGGCAGTCAGGTAGTACGGTGGACCAAGTCGTAGCTCTCAGAACATTTCAAGTTTACAAGTTGTAATTACGAGTTTAAACAAACAAGTTAATGCTTTGGCTTTGATAGTCTTGCCATATAAAGGAATAATTAAAGTTTGAGGATATGGAACAGCGGTTGGGGTTAGAAGGGATATAGCTAAAGTCCCTTTCAAGGAAAGTTCACTCAGCAGCCATATTTGCAATGCCGCCGGGCAGCTCAAACAAGACCAAGTCCTATTGAAATAAATGGGGGAATCCTGAAATCTCAAAAACTGCTCGCTGAACTCGCAATTAAATTACATGAATTGCCCCATGAATGTTGTTTTTGCTCAAATAGCGTTTAAAAAGCTTATTTTTCAGGCTAGACCAGCCAATGCGCCTGCAAAGACATTTTTGTCACACTGAACAACAATAATTACTGTATTTGCATTATTGTAAGGGTGGGTTTAGGGTTGGAGTAGGTGTAGACGTTAATAAAATACAATGGGATATAGCAAATTTAATTTATTGCTATTTTGTGGCGAGATTTTGTGTCACTTCTGGTCATAGCTGTATCCCTACCAGCTATAACCGAGGACAGCTCCAAGTACAATGTCACGTGTTGTTATCTCAAAATATGGTAATTATGACATGGCGCAAAACTAAACAACTAAACTAATGGGTTAGAGGGGACTGGTTAAGGATACTCCGCCCAGGCCATCAAACTCATGTCATCAGAGAAGGAATGCCATTCCAGAGCGGAAGCAAATTTTCAGATTTTGATTAAAGATCACCAAGACAAACTATTTTTTCTGTGGGTTAAATTGCACAGATTAATTGTTCACCTCAGGATTAGCAATGTGCACTAACAAAATAAATATTGGAAATTTTGATTTCATGCAGACTTTTTAGTTTTGTTGCAAGCTGTCCACGCACTGGCAATAAATATGCAATTAATGCATTAAAATTCTAAAATATTGAATTTAATAAACATTTTATCAACTAGTTCAATATTTTAAATTGTTCTATATGGTGTGCTAAAATAATTTAAAAGTACAAATATTCGATGTAGAGTATATAAAAACTGCATGCACAAAAATTATAATACATTTGTAAAAAGTTATTTAAAAGTTCGGAGAGACGTCTCCACCCCAGCCTGGGCAGAATGGGCTGGCAACCCAATCTGTGT